AAACACTGAACAGCTATGATATTGTGTGAGAGTATTAACTATAATGAGGGTAATTGTGCCCAAAATGAATTTCAGCCACAAATTGATTCGCATAAACATCGAAATGGATGTCAGCGCCAGTACTGCTGAATACGTGTAATACCGAGACTGAAATGTCGAGAAAGATTAGTACAATTTATAATTAGACAAATTGTCATTTATGAAATTACTGACCCATTTATATAAACATTCGTGACTACCCTTATGACTAGTGTCGATGTGTTCGACCCTCTCCTCTTGAGTGATTCTGTTAGACACCGGACACTGGATTACATCCAAACACGCGATCAGAATCAACGAGAACGAAATGGACGCCCAAATTAATATACGATAATAATAGCTAATCTATTGGTTTGTAAATTAACATTAAATTAGTCACAATTTATAATTGAAATAATTTCTATATCAAACCTCGTGTTTCTTTTTATGAGTGAAATATAGAGAGACAGCGATAATAGATACGGTTAGATAGAAGACAATAGTGCCGTTTGTGTACCAAAAAGTGCCCCAATCTGTGTGTTCGTCATAAAGAGTCAAGAATCTGATGATCATAATAGCGATAGTGATTAGCGCCGAAAAATACAAGTAAAACGGAAACAACGGATCCTTTTCGTGGAGATATTGGCGCTCGTGCTCTAAGTCTATGGTATGGATGTGACGAATGGTACTCTTCTTCAGTGTGTCTATTGTCCTCCGGGGTATGAAATGCANTGAAATGCAGTAAATGTGGATTGATTTCCAGCGAATGATGCGAACACTCGTATTGTCTGCAAGAAGTGCGTTAACAATGTGGACACAAAGTGAATATTGTTTGTCTGAATTACCTTTTTAGATTGAGAGGCATTTTGTCGATGGCGTCCGATATTGTATCGCTGGCGAAGCTAAGCATTCCTTGAAATTTACCCAAACTATTGGTATAATTAAAATGTAATAAAAATCATATCAAATGATAAGTTATAATAAAATTCGTACTCATTTCCGGACATTGAATCTAAAACCCAAGTTCTTCTGCGGGAAAGACTCATTGAACCGAAATGTGATGACGATCTCGAAGACATTGATGAGTTCTACACAATCATTATTAACGATATAATTACATCCAATAATTGTGGGCCCAATAAAGGGTTAACCAATAATACTGACCCGAGAGCTCAAGAAAGAGCTCGTATAACTCGGTCGCGGTTTGTCAACCATTCGGTCCGATCGGGAAATTTGTTTCACATAATTCTTGGCGATAGAAATATGGGTTTTGGTTTTGCGGATCAGGTAAGTGGTCTCACCCGGAATCACATTGTTCTCTGCAATGGTTTACATAATTAAATATAAGTCTAATATAACAATATTTAAATTTTTAAAAAAAATAATAATATAAAACAAGAATCTCTTACCTTTAATTTGAAAATCGGATCGACTTTGTTTGGGCACCAAATCCAATGTAGTTTTGGTGACGTGAACATAGCCGGGCGCGCCATCATGCTCCATTTGGGACGCCTTCATGCTGTCGATGGACCAGATGTCGTATTGCCACTTCTTCAGCCCCAACAGACCCGAGAAGACCATTCCTGTGTGAACGCCAATCCTCATGTCCACATCCACCTGGATGTCTTCGCGCACATTTCTGACATTATTGGTTACAAACGTTAGATTCAATGTAGTCGACTAAATACCATGCTCATTTACTTTATTATATCAATCATATCTATACCCATATTAATACTGTTTAACGCGTGGTTGGGGTCGTGTACGGGAATACCGGACACACAGTAATAGCAATCGCCCAATAGTTTGATACGTAAGCAATTGTTGGCCTATAAATACACGATTTAATTGTTTTAAAACTACTTTAAAAGTAATGATTTGAGACTCACTTCGGCTCGAGTGTCAAATCGACCGAAAAGTTCGTTCAGAGTTTCGACCAAATCTTGCGGCGATTCCAGCGATTGTGTCAAAAGCATTGAGTTGACGATATCGGCGTACAAAATGGTGACATCCGTATACTTCTCGATATACAACTCGGAAAAGGGACGGGAAATGGACGCCTGTCGTGTCGAATCGTGCTGTTCCATGTGCTGCGCGAACCGCTCTCTGATATCTCTCTTCACTTTCTTCATGAGATGTTGGGGTAGACACGAGCCGAGCAGTCTCTCCTGTTGGTCCTTCTCGAAGGTCAGCTTAAACT